TTGGACATCACAATGTCCCATCATAAACTCCCTCTTATATAATAAGTGAATACTTAAATCTTTTTTTTATGATCATGTTACACATTTTAATTTCTATATAGTGTGTTACACATTTTTAATTTCTTATACATGTTAAGATACTCAATATTACCTTAGGGCCCATTTGGCCCCAAGAATACTTGCAAAAAACTTGGAAAGTGTGACTTTTGAAGTTATGACCATTTGAAGTTTCACCAATTTACAACTATTTTTTGAAGTTTCAATCTCTAATTTGGTGAAACTTCAAACGATCGTAACTTTTGCCTCGGATATCCGTTTGACGCAAAAAAAATTGATCATCGGTATTTTTTTGAGATTTATTCGGTCAACTCCTTAATTTGTTTTACTTTTTTGTATTATTATATCTTTATTTATATAGAATAATAGTCACACAAGGTATTTAGGTAATTTTTGTTCTATTATTATATATAGTGTCACTACAGAAAAAATAGTGATTAGCGACAAATCATATTCCACCGCTATTTAATGTGAAAAAAATTATACTTATTTTCTTCCCAATGCAAAAGATTATTAATAATATAATTGCAAATTAATTATTGCATCAATAACCTAAAATGTTCTTTGATACATGTTTTAAACTGTCAACATTTTTGCAACACTTCTTACTATTCTCTCTCATTAGAGCTACTCAGTGAATAAGTATCACAAAAAACAAGGAGTCATTTACATTATGATGATGCTAAGACAAACCAAGATTCAAGGACTTGTTGCATGCTTTTGTATACGCTTCATAGTTTATTGTAGTTTCAGATTTTAAATGTAGAACTTTTTGCAAGTATCGATGTCTCTATTATTTATTAGTGGAAAGTGTAAAAGTCTGGATTTGTACAGTTTTGATCAGAATCACACATTGTTTTGATGTTGCTATTCGAAGAGTTAGCTTACTGACAAGTTTGCTTGAAATTATATGCCCCTCTGTAATATGTTTTATTATTTTCTCCAATAATAGGTGGTGGAATTAAAGTTTGAATGACTATGTTACTAAGGATGGATCTATAGTGTTGGTTGCAGATTGTAAATGAACTCCTAAATTTTAACTCTTACATTTGCATATGTCATATCACCAAGAATTTTGAATTTTATGTGTTGGCTTATTTGCACTTTGAGCCCCTATTTCTTTGTATTCCATCTTTGCTCCTTTATTTTCATTTCATGTATCTATATCTACTACACCTCTGAATACATATAGACAAAATCAATTAGTATTATTGGGCCCGTGCTGGCACGGGCACTACCTATCAAGTAGAAACATGAAGATAAGACGGCCACAACTTAATGTTTTTGTACCTTGTGCTACAAAAGTTGAACAGGGTACATTGTGATCCTGAATTAGACATCGTACATGAGCCCAAATAGCTACAAGGATAGTCATTTTCTATTAAGCCTCTGCGATTCTCCCATCCTTCCGAAAGTGTGAACAAGTTGCTACATATTTTTGTTGACTATTCATGTGTGCTCTTCAGATTTTTTGTTTTACCTTGGTTCTAAACATGAATCTCTCTTTGTTAGTTACAACGTGTATATTTTATCAACTTGTGTAATCATTGTTTTTGTAGGATTGTGAAACCGATGTTTAAGGCTGAGCAACCCAAGGCGGGATGATTTCTATGGTTTTATTCCATTGAGAGTATCTTTATTTTATTTCACTTTGGAAAAGTTAGCTGCAGAAACATTTACTATATCTATAGCATTATCTGCCTATGCTGAAAGACAGACGCAATACTATTAAGTCCACTTTATGATTTCAACTTTTCTTCATCACTTTTTCGGAAGATATATCCTTTATTCTAACCTGAAAAGTTGTTTCCAGATTAATGTACCTAGGGTTGTTATGTGTATAATAGTCGTTGAGATAGCATATTCATGCTACAGTCTAATAGGTGCTTCACTTCAAGGGAAATAAATATTCATCCAGGATAAAGTATTTTCTTAGATAAAGGTAAAACATTTACTTTGAGACGATGTTAAGTTACTTGCTTACCTTAATGTTCAGCTCAACACTGGTGTTGAAAAGAATTTTGCTAGTCCTAATGCAGAAGATAATACTCCAAAGCTAGCAAACTCAATTTATGCACCTAGACGGAGCATAAGCTTGAATTGTCATATTTCATTGCATACAATGTAGAGCAAATCCTCGAGACATAAGAAAGATCGTTAACGTGACTTGGCAGTGGGAAATATTATTTCAGTTGGAAATGACGATTTGTTTGAATATTCATGTTAATTTTATAATTGAGAAACAAATTTGAATAATCCTCCCTCAAATTTACCTGATTATTGTTGTGACAACGTATTACTTCCAATAGTATTCCAAATAGTTTATGTAAGATCCAATCATCAGCTAGTAGATTGCCAATTTGAATGGAAAGTATCAAATTCAGTATTGTAATCTTATTTTATAGTATAACAAAGAATCATCTTGTGTCATGTGAAGTTTCCCCTATTAGTTGTGGATGGAGGGACTTCATCTATATAATTTGTTCCATTCAAATGCTAGTCGTAACATGAAATAGATGGGTTGAAATGTTAGGATTTTTTTTTCAGATAATTTTATCAAATGCTACCCTCTCAGAGTTCACTTGTGGGATTACACGGGATATATTGTAAGTTTATAAAACCTGGTCATTATAGTTGAGGAGCATACTTTTTCACCACAGTGCACCAATAAAACCAAACTGACGTTCTGATTGCTCTTAATCATTGTATGGGAATAATCTTTACTGTTTTATAACCATATTTTTTGTTGGATACATCAGTGTAGCGGATCATATGTCCTCACTATTTTTTTTGGATGCTATGTTATTGACGTTTCTTGAGTTATTCCTTAAGGTTGTTGAGTATATTATGTTGTTTCTTATTTCCCTTAATCTTTTGTTAACACAACAATTGATGATTTTCTATGATTTGCCATAAATTGAACGACATTTAACACAGCCACCTTGTAAAAAACCGCAATCATAGATAGAATATGAACGATATAATATAAAGTCTACAACTATAACAAATTAATTTTACTAACATCTTGAGACACAGAGAGGTTGTTTCTATGATGTTTTGTAACCTAAGAGAGTATAAATCCTAAACTAAGCAAGAATTAATTGGTACAAAAACCAAAAACAATCATAGAATTAAAATATATAAAGTCGGTACTTATTTCCTACCCAGTAGAGATTTTGATGATACATTAATTACTGAGTTACAACTATACCCAGTAATTAATGTATAGTGCTTTGATGAAAAAGACAGTGCAATTACACGTGTTAAATAGGAAAGGACAAAGAAATGAATGTATAGTTGTAAAAAGGTACAAAATTTTAATGCCATGTTAGTCCTAACAATATAAAAGCGTAATAACTCTATTAGTGGAGAATAAAGCAACTTGAAATCGTAAAGTTCACTATTTAAGAGGACATCTTCTTTAATGGAAAAAATATGATAGACAAAATGGAATCATTTGGTTTAATAATAGTAATTATACTATAAAAAGAAGTGAGGTATTTAGAAGCAACAAGTAAGGCTGTGTGTATGTTAATTCTGAACTCATCAACTCTAAATCTTAGTCAAATAACCTCCTTGGGTGGGAATAAGAACAATGCTTCATGTCTGATGATATATAAGGAGACGGAAGTCATACCTATCAAATATTTACGTACTTTTATTAGTTTTTCACTCGATATAAAATTGAAATCCTATTTCATGTTTTCCATTGAAAAAATGGCTTCAAGTGAAAGCATGTAATTTCTTTTTTCCCGTCCGGTATTCAATATCAGCTTTAGGCACGATTAATTTGAATTTGTGTCAAAAAATCTCATTTTCGGGGTAAAGTATTAAAGATGGCTTCAAACTTGAAACATTTAGTTAAGAATGAATGAATATTTAGTGTTTTATCATAATCATTGAAGATACAAGTAAAAGCATAGAGAGCACTTGAGAACACAAGACTACAAAAAAAAATAGTGTGTATTTTAAATAAAGCTAAGTCTTGAAGCAACATTAAAATTATATATGTTTGATTTAAAGCTTTGGATTCGAAACGTGAAAGTAAACATTAATGTTTGTATAGAATAGGATATCTACATCACATCTCCTAAGATGCAACCCTTCTAACATTACTAACGCCAAATACTTTGTGAATCAGACTGCATAGTATATTATTTCAGATATTATTTGATAATTGATGGTACAAATATTTGAAAGACAAGTACTGAAAACTAGTCATGTGTTCCCATTTTTCTAAAGGTCAATTTAGCTGAGAGAGAGAAAAAAGCATTGTTTTCAGCAATTGACCAGTGTGGTGGATCAAATTCCCAAAAAAGTATAGTAGCAAAATCAAGAAATTCAGCCCAAACATTAATGTAAGACATGTTATTAATAGAACCTCCACCACATGAACTTTTTATTTCATCAAACATTAACAACCCCTCTATGGTAAAAACCCTTATTAGCATACAATTAATATTTAAGCTTTATATATTTACGTTTACTTTTTGTTTCTCAATATTCTAATCATGTAAACTTTGAAATTGATCAAATATTTTTAAATGTATCTTTTCATCATACTGACATAAGGATAATTATATTATTTTTTATATAATTTTTGAATAATTAAATTATTAAATATTAAGTTGATGTATATAATCCAATTAAGCTTTAAAAATTAACTCTCGAAAAGGAAAAAATATAAAAATTAGAATGGGGGTTGGTGGGGTTACTAGTCTTGGAAGAAATGCTAGAGAGGGAAAAGTCTACCATTCAAGATCTCCTTAGACTAAAGTCAAATAATTTCCTTTTATAATCCACAATAGAGAAAATAGAAAAACATTGAGAAGAAACATACATCAAATAATAAGTAAGATAAGCACAACTATATTAGGTGAATTAATTTGAGGAATATTATATATTGCATTCTCAAACCAATTCTTTCTTTATAGATAAGAGTTCCATAAAGAACATTTATGAGTAGATAATCACTACTTTAAGGATTCCATAGAGTTACAAAACCAAGAAGTAGAAGAAGAAGAAATCCCAAAAAAGAAATGGAGAAAATCCAACAATTACTATGACAAACATTAAGAATTTTAATTTCTTCATCAATATCAACAACTTGTGAAACTTCAGCTTCTCGAATGCCATGCATGATGCACGTACACAAATTCAAGAAGCTGAATTAGTAGTCGAAAAATGAAGTGATTGAAAGCCATGATGCATACAGATTATACTCTAAACTTCAAGAATATGTAACCTATTAGACTCCAAATGGTAGTTGTCCATTAGGCATATTCAAAGGAAGATTAAAGAATGGAAATCCAGATGAAGGGTCATGAGGAAATTGGCTATTATTGTTATTATTATTATTATTACCACTATTAGAGACTTGTGGTTGAATTTGAAGCCCTCCCCCTCCTTCATCTTCCTCTAATGGCAATCTCTCATAAGCAACATTTGTAAATGATGAAGCTATAACAATAACTGGTCCAGAAGCAATCAATTCCCCTACCACACTTCCTCCAACAACTTGCCCTTGTCCACCAGCCACAAAAATTGTCAGACTCGTCGCACCTGTTAAAGACATAATTAAGTAAATTGTATACACAAATGATTAACTCATTGCATCGTGGTCAGGAGGCGCTGTTGACGTCATAATTAAGTAAATAAAACGAATTGCTTTCTCAAACATCTTAATTTTTTGTATGTGAGACGCTCACAATGGTTGTTGAAGACATAACTAAGTAAATAAAATCGTGAATTTTACTAAACCCCATTCATTGCACTTAGTTCCATCTCAAAGACACCCTATTACTACAGTATAATATTTCAACGAAGAGGATATATAGAGGATTCAATTGAACCTCCTTCATTGAACTTAGATTCCACCACTAGAACAAATTACATTTTTTAGATGAGATGATGACACAGAATCGTACCTGGTGGAGCAGGTGGAGGCAAGAATGAGCCAGAAAGGGAAAGAATCTCAAATCTTCCATGCAATGTTACTACAGAACCAGCAGCAGCAGGTTGTCTTATGCTAACATTTGTTACTGTCCCACTACCACTTAGTATACAAATCCCTCTTTGTCTTCTCCTAGCATAAGTTGATACACATTCAAATACATCACATCCATTTCCAATCTCCAATATATGTGCTCTCAGTGTGTTTGCACTTTCTCTAGTGATTATTACTGGTGGTTTTGGCTTGTTTTTTGACCCCGCTGGCCGCCCTCTAGGTCTCCGGCCAACGATATCACCTCCTCCTATTAAACAACATAATTCAATATGATATCAGAACAAATAGAAAGTCTTGGGTTCAAGAATCACTTATATCAAATGTCCCCCAAGTGAGAGGTTGATGAAAAATATAATTAAGCAAATAAAAGTGGACTCTCTCGAATTATTTAAATTTTCATGTCACATAATTTAGCATTTTTTAGGCTAAATAAAAGGTCTTGAGTTCAAGTCTCACCGTCAGACACCATCTATTATTGCCCAAAGAAAAATAAAGAGTTTTATGTGCTTGGTTCATGAACAAGAATTAGGTAAGTATAGGAGGCTAGGGAGGGTGTACTAATCAAAGATATAATTAAATAAATAAAAATATATTTTCTTTAATTTCTTAAATTTATAGATAAAATAACCTATTAGATAATTTCAACATGATATTAAAATAGACAGAAGGTCTTAGATTCAAGTCTCATCGGTCATCATCACCTATTATTAACAAAAAAAATTGCCCAAACTTGATTCATATAAGATAATTAGAAACAACCAACACGCTTAGGAGGGCGTGTTGATTGAAGTCATAAAAGAAAATAAGTAAATAAAAGTGTACTCTCTCTAACCTTGATTCTGATGACCATTATCCTCGTGGTGATGGTCATCGGAAAATTGGTTGTTGTTATCTTCATCATCCGGTTGTCTTTGCAGATTGAAGTCAGCCGGGTGGTGAAGTTGATGAATATAACGAGAAGTTGTGCTTAAATCCAAACCAGCCATGACCAAAACATTCAAAAGTACAAAAAAAAACACAAGAGATATGGGGCAAAAAAACTATAAATTAAAAAACAATATCAAATGTAAAATTATTAAAAACTACTAGATATATATATATGTTTTTTTTTCTATGGTTTTGTTTAATAGATGGGATTATATTCTATAGTTTTTGGTGTGTAGATTTGAATAAAAGATTTAGAAAACAAGAAAGGAGCTTAGCTTGTTATGGAGATTTGGTTTTTTGAGTGGAAAGAAAGGGAAGGGAGGAAGAAGGAGAGAGAGGGGAACAAAGACACCCTAAAGTTTATAAATATTATATAAGTATAAGATAATAGGAGGATAGAAATTATTTGTTTATTCAACTACTATATATTTATATAATATAGTGTATAGTAGTAGGTTTTTATTAAAAGAAAAATAATTGAGTTTAACTTCTATATAGCGGATAAATAATGTAAATTATAGGTTTGGTAATTCTATAAGTTTGGCTTGAATCTCATTTATGTGTTGAGAAATTTATATATTAGATTTCAAATTCAATTATAACTAAGAGACGAATTTAGAATTTTGAACTTATGACTTTTGATGTAAGAATTTCATGAACTTTTAGTCTTTTTTGGATTTTCGAAACTTTTTATTGAGCTAAAGATTTATCAGAAATAACCTCTCTATTTCAAAAAAAAATAGGAGTAAAATTTATGTGCATCAATTTTTTTCAGACCCCACTTTTATACCAAATATGTTGTTGTTGTTTAGATCTTAATAACTTTGTTCCTACTCTTCTAATTTTTCGCGGATATATATAAATAATAAGGAATGATATCTAAAATAAAGTTTGCATGATTTTTTTTGGCATGTCTAGATTCTCAAAAGAATTACCAAAAAAAAAAAAAACACCCAAAATAATAACAAACTAAAAAAAGGAGGAATTTGGTGGCTGATGACGGTAAACATTTGAAAATTACTATAATAGTTGCGTGAAATGAATGAAAATATTTATTATATATTATTTATATGAAAGTCAAGATTTGGGAAACTAGAGCAAGTTGGATTATATGTCATTCATGTTTTGCAAGTGTATTAACTTAATTAATAAATTATACATGATAATGAAGGAACATTTTTCCTCAACTTGCAATAACTATTCCGTAATATTTGAATTCTTCGAAAATAATATATTTTTAAAAAAAAATCCAATATGAATACGGTATCAAAATTGAAGAATTTGTACAATTTAGTTCGAAACTCACTGATTTAATAAATATTCATATTTCTTTAGGTAAAGTAAGAATCTAAAGTTTTTTGGCTTCAGAATTTTAGTTTTTTTAAAGCTTACTTAGTTTTGAATTAATAATTTATTCAATAAGTTTTTTAAGATAAATATAGAATTTGGAACAAGCTATTGAGTTCCGCTAAATTCGTAAGTTATACTTTATCTTTGTCTCTAACTGTTATGTAGATTCTTTTAATAGATGAGGGTATAGAACACTTTCTATAATTAAAAAAAATTGAAGAGTTTTTGACCATTTATGATACTTTTGACGATAGGAACAGAACTAGAAGGGGCTGAGGAGGTTTTATCAACCCAAATTTTTTTTTTAGGTAGATTATATTTATTGTATATATAAGATTGAAAAATATATATTTAATGCATTTATAATAGTTGATTAAATTAAAATAGGTAGGGTTAAATATAGTTTGATTTATATGTGAGGTGTACAAGACTTTAATTTACTAATCATGGTTAAGGATATCAAAGTTTTGACCAGATTTTAATTAATGCTAACACAGAAAAACGTGATGATGAGAGAGACTATATATAGGTTGAAGTAATTAAAGTAGTTGTAACAATATTTTAATACTAGTAATACTACTATATATAATATAAAAATATCGATGGTGGAGAGATGATTGAAATCCTTCATCGTTAACTAAAATCCTTTGATTCGTGTATTTGAAAATAAAATAAATGTTATTAGAAATATTATTTCTAATAATGAATTATGTAGTACACAAATTAACTCTAATCGTATTCTAATATAAATATATCAAATTTATTGTTAAAGAAAAAGAAACTAGTGGATGGGGAAGAGTGGCTAATGGATCCCACATTTGTCTTGACCTCACTACCCTGGACGGCTTTCTTTTGTAGTCTTTAACTTTGGGCCATCCTTGCTTAATTTTTGGCAATTTGTTGCCTTAACCAATGATTTGACCCCTGATCAGGGTCGTGATTGAATGGTAAGTATATGGAGTATATTTTTATTTATAATCATAGAATTATAAAAGATTGAATAAGATTGGCAAGAATATGATTATCTTAAGATAATTATTCATCGCAAGTTTTAATATCTCGAATACATACTTTTTGTGTCGATATGATATTTTTTATAAATATCAAAATATTTCCTTAATGGTGGCTATGAGACTCAAACTAACTCATATATGTGCTTGCAGAGATATCATCTATATTTTTATAATATAAAGTAGTCAAAGAATAAACCAAACAAAATAATTTTTTTTCTAGGATGGCTATTCCTTGCAAGTTTTAGATCTTTGACATATTCTCTTTCATATTGATTTAACTTTTTGTCGTAAATCACATTGAAAGATTCATACTCAAAATATTTGCTTAAGTTCGATATCAGGTTAATAAATTTTATTATGTTTGACATAAGTTTTAAATTGTTATTAATTTATATTATTATAGAGGAGATAAATTTTCTTAATTTATTATGGGATTAGGAGTCCAACCCCCCATACTTCTATGTCCAACAAACACACAACATTTGATTTTGTTACTTTAATTGATTATACCAACTTGTTGTTCAACAATTAAATTAAGGTGTAAAGCCTTTCACCTTTATTTTTTATTTAGATTTCTATTGAATACAATATGCTTTGTCCGTGGCTAATGTTAAAAAAAGGAATAATATCATTTTTCAGTCACTGAAACATATATTATGAACTTATAATATATTCGAGTCTAATGTTTGTTGATATATATATTGTTTAACTTTACCAATAAAATTAGGGAAAAAGGACAAATATATCTCCTTGCCCATTTTGTGGAATAATCTTTTTAGGAGGGACAATTTTACATATTTTTGAACTATCGCATATGGTATGCAGATACTCTCCTTCATACTTTTGGGACACTGGTGCCCCCGTCGTTCAAAAACTAAAGCATATATACCCTTTATACTAACGGACATACACGTGTCATAATCTTATCCACCCACCCGATATTTATTAAATATCAAATCAATGAATAAGTTTGTGTCACGTGTCCCTATTTAGTCTTCCGTTAGAGTGAAGGGCATATATGTTCTAGTTTTTGAACGGCAGGGGCACCAATGTCCCAAAAGTATGACAGAGGTTATTTGCATACCATTTACGATAGTTCAAGGGTATATATGTCCTTATCCCCATAAAATTAAATTATTATTTAACGTTTTTTTAGTAACTTACAAAAGTTTAGACTGTGATTTAGCATTTTTAATATAAAATTTACTAAATATCTACTCTGTTCTTTTTTACTTGTCCAATATTTCCTTTTTATTGTTATTTTTGACAAATCAAGAAAGAACATTTTTTTTCCTATTATACCCTCGATTTATTACCATTAAGTTAATGTCTTTAAAAAATGCAGTGAGTAAGATATTTGAGATTCCATCAATTAGTAGGGATAAAATGATAAATTTACTATAACACTTAATATTTTATTAATAAGTGTGTCAAATCAAAATTTAACAAATAAGAAGAGACCGAAAGAGTACTAAATAGATGACCCAAAAAAGGACAACCGGCAAGAATTTCCTCCCAAATGGCTTACCCTATTTATAAATATGTAAATCTTATATTTATTTCACAATCATTTATTTTTATTAAAGTACAGTGTCAGGTTAATTACCCAAAATAGTGTCCCAATTATTAGGCACCAGTATTCAACTTAGATCAACATGAAGTATTACTCATTTATATTATATGAATATAAATTATTGACAAAAAACAACCAAAAGTATTACCTACATTTCAGTGTTGGAGTAGTCAAGTGGACTTGTCTTTTTTAAAAATAAAAATATAAAAAAACTTTGGCCTAAAGTTAAATATGAACAAACCATATGAACTCATGATGAAACAAAAAAAGGGTGTCGGTACGCTTTTCACATAATAGGAAGCAATAAAATTATAAAAGTTCTAATTTATGTGTAACAATCAACGATATGACTAAAATGAAACATAATCATATAAATAAACTGGATTAAAATTTCTGTATTTGCAACACTATTTTCATATATATGTGTGACATACGCATACACATACATTATAGGGGGAAATGACAAATATACTCCTAAACTATTGTAAATAGTACGTAGATACCTTCCGTCATACTTTTGGGACATTGATGCCCATGTCGTCCAAAAACTAGAGCATATATATGCCCTTCACTCTAACGGAAGACTAAATAGGGATATGTGGCACAATCTTATCCGTCGATCTGATATTTAATAAATGTCGGGTCGGTGGATAAGATTATGACACGTGTATGTCCGTTAGTATAAAGGGTATATATGCTCTAGTTTTTGAATGACAGGGACATCAATGTCCTAAAAATATGACAAAAGATATCTGCATATCATTTACGATAGTTCGAAGATATATTTGTCATTTTTCCCTACATTATATACGAATACACTCACAAGTGCTAAGGCAAAATTCATTGTTACAGAGAAAACAAATGGTATGTATAAATTAGGGTTGCATACTACTTCAACATATATAAAATGTTACAAAAAATATAGAATATGAGCATCTAACATGTACACATGTTTTTTCTAGTGAATAGTGAAAGTGTTATATATATATAGCATGGTCCTATATTATAATTATTATTTTTATGAAGCTTCTAGCATCAATATGTTTCCCTTTGTTTGCTAAAGAATTGAGGTTTAATTTTAGAGTCATTGAGGTTGTCTTTGACTATTATATAATATGAGAATACAAAATGTCTTTAATTATAG